CACATTATCATTATTACATAATTATAATAATGATGATGATAATGATAATAATAATAGTAGTAGTAATAGTAGAAGTAAAATTAGTGCTACTACAGATGTCACCATCTCCACTGCTACTATCACTGCCACTACTGCCACCACTACTACTCACTTACGTAAAACAATAATATTAATTTTTATTAAAAATAAATGGTGACGATCTGATTTGATAAGTAGATCAATGATAATAATGTTTTTACACCTAGCAAGTATGATATTAAATGATATTTTTTATAGTTAAAAAATTACTGCATAAAAGAATCGACCCAGTAATCGATATTGTGTACAAACCGCTGAAAGTGTCAAAAACCAAAATCAGATTTTCACGACATACACTAACAGAAGTTGAAATATCAAAAAATGCTTCAATTTGAATGTTAAATATGGAAGCATTTAGAAAATTAAAGTGGGAAAATAGAATCGTTCTAATCTATGACCCAGATACCACTGACCAAGATGATGATAATAATAATAGTGATGATAATAATGATCATGAAGTAGGAACAAATAGTAAAAAAAGAAAACAGAAAAATAATAATAATGATCATGAAGTAGAAACTAGTAGTAAAAAAAGAAAACAAAAAGAAAAGGAAAAAGAAAAAAAGAAAAAATCAAAAAAAAAATCAAAAAAATAATTAGATAGATTATTTTATATAGCATATATAATATATTTCATTTTATATTTTTCATAATAAATGTATTTCATTTTATTATCTTTTTTTTATAATAAATTAAAATTATGATTATTTGCAAATAAAAAAAAGTGAAAATATATATATAAATAAAAGGTACTGATAGATACCTGATAGAGGGAAAAAACTATTCGATACATAGAGATATACTGTATTCGATATATAGAGATATACTATGGCTAATTTATAAAAGATATGTATCTGATAAAAAAAATAAATAAAATCAGGTACTTGATATATGAATGATAAATTTGAATAAAATGTTAAATATTAATGTCCAATATGAAATCAATATGGGCTTGATAAGTGTCTGAACTTCTACATTTCGACCTCACCAATTGGGTACCTAATATATTACATAATTATTAATATCGGACACCTATTGTATACTTATCGAACTTCTGATAGATATACGATAGGTGTCTGATATTCCCTATTTCAACCAGTGTTAAGCTAAAAATAAAGACAGATTGTTATTTCCAAGTGCATAATAAAGTTGTAACATCAGAAACTGATTTTTTCATATGGAAGGATAAACTATACATAATAGTTGATGAAGACAAGTATATATATTATGTTAATAGTAATATTGGTTAGGGTGAATGTCAAATAACTGGTGAATTATTAGCTTCAACATACATAAACCATAGAGAAATAGCAGAAAAATACATGGTTCAAACTATATTTGCAATACATGTAATTGGGACATGATTCACATTTTACAGAGCTGAAGTTAAGTTTAATTACCTCTATAATCTTTCTGATAGATTTTTGAATGAGAATTTGTTAATATATAGGTATCCAGTGTTGGATGATTAATATCAAAATCAAATCTCATGTCTTGATTATATAAATCCCAATTAGAAAAAACAGATTCTAGAAATTATGATAAAGATAAAAAATTTCGTAATTCAAAATAAAACAATTCATTATTATTGATAAGGCTAAATTTATGATGACTAATAATTTGTACTTTGACAAGAATTTTATTTGTCACTTTGATGGATTGAGCTACATTTTATGATTTCTTGGTTATACAATTTAAATTGAGTTGTATACACCAACATCATTAATTTCTTCATGCTTTCTGTCATGACAAAAAATATTTCATTTTATTATCAAAATGAAATATAAGATACATAAATATCAGATATATAATTTCATAATAAAAATACATTAAATGGAATTGTTTTGTGGAGCAAGGATGCTTTGCATCTATCTATTTTTTATTTTTTGTTGCACATGCTTTTTTTTTACTTTTGAATTTATTACAAGTTATTATTCTATCTTTTAATAAATCTACAATTTTATTGATTATTTGTTTTATATTATTCTGTAAATTTTCCTGGTCCCACTAATTGCCTTTTTTGTAAGATCTATTTGCTATTCATATTTACTAGTACAATATAACCCATCTAATGTAAATGTCAATCTTCTCCAGTAGACTCCAGTTAAAAAACAAAAGATAGTTAGATACAAACATATCTTCATCTTTATCACAAATAAAATCAATTTCATCAACTTTTTCCATTTATATAATGAAGTTGTTAATGCTGAAAATCTTAATTATAATGCAAGCCAGAATGTAATAAGATCTAACTATAATTTAGGTAAAGGTTTAGTAGTACTCACAGGAAAATTTTTGAGCATAATATTATACCATATATAAAAAAAAATCCATTTTTTGACTTCGCTACAATTTACGCGACAGGGAGCGATGTTTTACTAAGATATTTCTAAGATGGATCGAAAGCCCTGATTCTTGGCTACAAGATAATATGTATTTCATTTCTGTAGCATTGATATTCATCGAGATATTCACGTTTAAAGTCGTTGAAATATTTTGTAATATTATACACTGGATCTTTTTTTATATAGTTTCAATTTATATTTGTTAATGTATTTTTTTGATAATATTCATAATTATATTCCTTCAATAATATTCTCATCTCGTCATAGTTTCATTTTTTCAGTAATTAATTCATTTCAACATAGTTTCATTCTGTCATTAAATAATTATTTTTTAAACTTCATTTAATAAATGACGACACTTTACTACCAGTTACACAGTATATTTAATCGATCACGTCATTTTTATAATAAACGTAGATCATATGAAATATATAAGTTATCAAAGTTATCAAAGTTAAAAGTTATCTATTATCTAATACACGTGTACGTTTTAAGTCTTTTTTTTTTTTAATTATTATTATATCGAATATATAACAATTATGATACAGCCTTTGGAAGTAACTGAATATGATGTTATCATTCTTGGAACGGGTTTAGTAGAATCAATTCTTGCAGGGTGAGTCTTTTTTGATCTTTTTAAATTTGAGTTATCAAAATTTTTTTTTATTCTTTAAAATTTTATTTTCTTTTTAACGTTCCGAAAATTATTTTTAATAAAAAATTGTTTTCTAGTGCTTTAGCGAGAATTGGAAAGTCAGTATTACACTTGGATGCAAATGGATTTTATGGTGGAAGTTGGAGTTCACTTAACTTTCGTGACCTTTTAAACTGGATTCAGAATATGCAAGGTTGTTCACACACGATTATTCACGTTAAATAAATTTAATAAATTTTATTATAATTTTATTTTTTCTTTTTACGATATACAAAAAAAGGGATATGCTTATATATAAAAGCACATAAAATTGATGAATTATTTTTTTAAAAAATTTCTTTTAGGATTTGTTGATCCGAATGGAGGAAAATATTATGAATGTAATTAAATAGCTTCATTATTATACAATTTTATTATGATTGAATGAATAATAATAATAATAACAATAACTTACCTTGTGATCAGGTTATAATGAAGGCATGCAATCCTTACCAGTTGAATTTCAAAAAGTTCACCATCAAGCATATTCTACGATTGAATATGAGATATATAATATGATGAAGAATAATGAAGATGATGGTGATGATGATGATGATAATTCTCAACAAGAAAATGATCAACTAGAAAATGAGGAAGTAAATAATAATGATTATGATAATAATATTCAAGAAGAAGAAGAAGAAAAGAATATATTACCAAATTATGATGAATTAGCAAGATTTTTACTTGATTCAGAAGAATTTGAACAACATGATGCTATTTCCAAAATTATTACTGAACAATTTAAATCAAAAGTTATTAATAGAACAAGTGAAAATGAAGAAGCCATTGCGATAGAAACATCACGACTTTCTCATTTACTTCAACTTCATCATAAAAATTTTTCATCATCATCATCATCATCTTCCCCTTCTCCTTCCTCACCTATCTCACCTATCAATACCACTAACACCCCTATCCCCGACACTTCCACTCTCACATCCACTCCCCCTAATATGTTATCAGATGAAATCGTACGTCACGTATCCACTAGTTTATCTAATTTTGAAAGAATTGAAACTTTGGCTATGTTATTAAAAGAATCAAAAAAATATAATATAGAATTATCACCTAAATTGATGTCATGTCGAGGTGAATTAATTGAATTGTTGATTAATTCGGGAGTTGGTAGATATTTAGATTTTAAAGCTATGGAAACTACTTACATTTATACGGGAAATGATGATAATAATTTTGATAAGGTATTATTATTTACTTTATCATACATTATTTAAAGTATTATACTTTATCATACATTATTTAAAGTATTATACTTTATAATACATTATTTAAAGTATTATACTTTATCATACATTATTTAAAGTATTATACTTTATCATACATTATTTAAAGTATT